GTTAGATACCACGAGGTGTTCAGAGACATTGATATAGACACACACGCAGACACAGCAAGCTAAAGGCGAGACACAGCAATGGCACTGAGACACCGACCAATATTAGTCTGAGTCAGCCACAGACATGCACGCTACTCACACTCCAAACACACAAAGACAAAGATCTCCCGTATAGCCTGAACAGACTATTGGAGCAAGTGCTCTTCGCGAGTACCCTATGAAGGCCGGCACGGCACACGAGGGGGTGGGTGGCTGACACTACCCCCGGCCGCCTTTGCCTCCCCAGTGGTGATGTTTCCACACCATGCTAGGTACTCATTTAAAGGCTGAGTCGACTTAGGGGAGGCCCATGGCCGTTTCAGATGATTATAATCATCGCTGGTGTTTGCGGGGGGGAGCGCGCAAACCGCTGCACTGACGCACATCACACATACACCACATATACACACACACGCACGGAATAGACACACACAAAGACCAGAGATATACGCAGAGAGTCGAGAGACGCACAGAGGAGAGAGAACAGCGGAGAGGGAGGCACGCAGCCTCCCACGCGGTGAGCTGGTGCAGCTGTGGCTGTTTACTGGTGCAGGGACTTGACTCTGATGAGGTCGGAGCCGATGGGAGCCGGGCAAGTTGTGAGGCCACCACCACCATCATCTCTGCTGCGCAGCTTCGCAATCGCGGAGCCGCACGGCGCCACGCCGCCAGCGGAGTTGGGGACACGTTTCTGGATTTGCAGCGTTCTTGGGGGACGTTCGATCAGCACTGCACGTCCCTCGCCATCGGTTGAAGTCACGGCGCGAAGCCCCTTTTGGACCCCACGAGCTTTGACATTCAATCAATGCGAGTTCAGCCCCAGATGAGGCCTGGAGAGCGGAATGGAGTTCTCATGAACTCACAAACAAACACCACCTTGTGAAAGAGCCGACGCAGAAGATCCCTGGGGTTTGATCTTCCACGAAGTTCGTGGTCCACCCTAAACCGCATCCGCTGCACAAACCATGGCAGCAGTCGATGGGAAACTAAAAACTCCCCAGCAGCAGCGTGCGACTGTGGTCATCCAAAACAGACCCAACAGCGTGTAACGACGCAATTTCCCGATCCACAAATACCAAAATACGAAGGGAGACATCACAGCGATGATGATACAATTCTGCGCTACTCCTGACGCGGTTATCTGGCTGACCACCTGAATGTGAAATTGCAGCCGTTGCTCCGAATCTACATCCGCCACGCAAAAGATGAAGAAGCGGCATTTCACGCGGCTTCCCTCTTACGCACCGCGAGGTTGTGATTATTTTATAGAGTACCCAGAGCCACCCCTCTCGAACCCCCCCCCCCCACCTCCCCTCCCCGCACCCCCCAGTTCGAGGTGGAGTCCCCCCTCACTCTCCCCCCCACCCTCCCACACCCCCCTACTCGACGCGCACGCGAGGCTGCTGTTGGACAGAGCTACGTGGACGCTCCCGGCCTTTTTGCGCGCGACGATCCTCGTCGTCGGTGGTGGCAGCGTTGAGCGCGCGCGGTGCCGGAAGAGCAGCGTCGTAGCGAGAGATGACAGAGAGAGAGCGATCGGTGCAATTCACTCGGCCGCGGCTGGAAAATGTTAATCACCGGGCAGTGCAAACAGCGCGCGCGTGCTAAGCAAAGCCACGCGCGGCCACGGGCGGCTGTAATCACCGCGCAGTGAAAACACGAGCGGCGGTGTTACCTTGCTGCCCCTCGACGTTCGCATCGCGCCGTCTGCTCGCGGCTGTTGTTTGAAGCTCTCGGGCTACAGGGGATAATCGTTGCGGCGTAATCGCTTTCACAGATTTCTGCCCCGAAACAATATTCTAGAAACGCTATTTCAGCAAAACGACCGGGAAGGGTGCTTTAGCCCCCAATGTGTTAATCTGGCCACCTAAGTTTAATTGACGGGCACGGCTGACATCAGTGATGAGTGACATCTGAACCGGTCCTGGATGCCCCCCAGGGCCGTATAATCAAATTGGCACAGTAGGTACAGTTGGCACTGTGCCTAGGGCCTGCTAAAAATGTTTAACCATATTGTTTTATTTTGATAGAAAATGTAATTAAGACATCTTCTTAAATAAATACGTATATTTACGTAGCAAAAATAGGCACAGTGTATATACTAAGAGGCAAAGTCATGCCAATCGTTTTTTCATATGGTGAGAGATATTAACACCGGAGATGAACTTTTCGATATTTTTTATTGCAATATTAGCAATAACACTTTCAAATGGTGTTTTTCGCACGATTTCATTCTCAATAGAGAGTAGTGTTTGGGAAGACAAGGCGTTATCACTGAAGTTGTCACTGAAGGCCTACGAAATACGTGGATAGGGGCCTACATGAACCTTAATCCGGCTCTGGTACCCCTCTTCAACCCGCACTGGCCAGCGCGGTGAAGTCTGGTCAAATAAGCCCCACGACCCTTACAGCATGGGTAGGCCCTCATCCAGCAGTGGATTCACAAGGAGCTGCAAACTATACATTATTACGCAAATCGAGAACATGCGACAAAGATATATTTCTTGTTGATTTCAGTTTTAATTCAAATATGGGTAATATTGACTGACCTGCGTTCCACGGTAATGCGTGCACGTGGCCACGCACTTCATTGGCACGAGTCTGGTTGCAAAATTCAATAATTGTTTTGAGCGAGCGGTAAAACGTCCAGGAGCATTCGTCTTCCTTTATGAAGCCGCGCAAGCAATATCGCCAGCGCCCTGTCATGTTTTCAGAGCGACCGGGATCAATTTATCAGCTCCCCCGACTGTTCTTTGACCCCGAACACAACGACTGCCGCTTTTGGGACGGAGCATGCCAGAGACGCGTTCCTCACAGGCGCCCTTTGTTTACGTTCTGGCAAGTGAACAATGCCTGTCAAGTTAACTCATCCGGGGGCTGAACGTACATTGGTTTGCCCTTATCAGTTGTCATTGGGCGGTGCAGTGATAACACTCGAGCCTCATGGCAATAAGTTTCTTGGCTTCGATTCCTGACTGTGGTGAATGAGCAATGCCCTGGCAGGAACAGCTGATGCCAGTCGGCTTTCCCCTCATGGGAAAGGTCCTGGCAAGGTGAGGCTTGTGGACCCCAATGTGGTTTCAAGCCAGGGCTGTCCACATATGCCATATTTTCTGTCTGGCTGCTACAGCAGAGGTGTAGGGAATTCCAACATGACCTATATCTCTGCTTTATTGACCTGGTCAAAGCCTATGATATCATCAATAGGCTTGGGCTTTGGTTTGTTCTTTGTGCTTTCAGAGTCCCTGACTATGGTCATATTTATCAATACAAAGACATCCAACCTAATAATGCAACTCAGAGAGTCAGCGTTGTATTGACGGGAAGGATGTCCTTCTCGCTCAGTCACCGATGCTGCGACATACTAGGCAAATCACCGATGCTGCGGCATACTAAGCTCGCGCATTGACATGCTAATCTCTCACGATACAATAGCCACTTCCACAACCTCAGGCAGACCATATCTAGCCCCGCTCTCTTACCCTGAGGCTGCACCCATCTCAGGCCTATATAAGACATTGTTTCAATTTCTCTCACCTGAAGACGGTCGCTTGTGTTGCGATCGAAACGTCGTGATCCATTAATTTTCTATCTACGTGACTTTACCGAAAGAGCCAAAGTGTATGGATTCCTGCAGTCACGAAAGCTTCAAATCAAGATTGGACTTCCATTGTGAACTGGACTTTCATGGTAAACTGGACTTCCATTGTGAACTGGACTTCCATAGTTAACTGGACTTCCATTGTGAACTGGACTTCCATGGTTAACTGGACTTCCATAGTTAACTGGACTTCCATGGTAAACTGGACTTCCATGGTAAACTGGGCTTCCATAATGAACTAGACTTCCATTATAAACTGGACTTCCGAAGTGAACTGAACTTCCTTGGTCAGGGGTCGGAAACCAAAATAACAAGAAGAGGCATTTTTTTCGAATTTCAAGAGCTGCACTGAAGTCCTTAAAGAGCCGCATTCGGCTTGCCGAGCACTGATCTAAATTATTCCCACGTGTGGCAACTTCCCAACCGTAGAGCTTGCGTTCAGTTTGGTGGCTGCACATTTCATTGTTCTAAAGATAAGTTCGCCGGTGGACCCGAGAGTCGGCCACACACACAGTGATGGACCCACGTTTCTTGAAGAAGCCTCCACGGGCTTCTTCAAGGGACGCTTCCCTTTGACTCTCAAACTCCCAACTCCAAACCTGTACACAAGAAGCGTCACGCGAGGCCTCTCAGTCCAAGGAATGCATGCAGCCGTCCGCCCATGGTACATAACACATTAAAGCAGTGGTTCTTAACCTGGGGTGCACGCACCCCCTAGAGGTGCGAGATGCCCTTTGTGGGGGTGCGAGACGTGGCCAGATTTTTTTAGAAGGGAAATAATCGAAAACACAAATTCAATTGTTTCATTAAACCTATGTATTTATTAACATTGCACATTTTTTTTTACTTTTGAGAACCAACGCACCTCCGATGAGCACGGTTGGCTTATGTACGGTGCTCAAGAAGTTCAACATACGGGACGTACATACAGGGCCCCTTTAGCTCGGAGCATGGCCCCGCAGCGATGTCGGGAGGGGCTGCAGCGGCTCCGTCTCCCTCGAGGAAATGCGTCTCCTCCAACCACGGACAAGCGCGGGTGTTTGGGGACTGCTGGGACGCATTTAACGTCTGCATTAAAGTGAAATTATTGAACATTTGACCTACGAGTATTTCTGGTGATATGAACAATCCCGGACGTGATCAATCCGCTGCTTGATGAACGTCCTCCGCCGAGTTCTTGTCGGTCGCCAACGTCTCTCGGATCCGCCCATAGAACGATCACCCGCACCCAAGCGGCTCCACGGCGCGTGGGAGTCGGCCACCCGCCAGCGGGAGGCGGGACCGGGTGCGTTCGGGGCGGAGCGAGGCCCCTGGGGTGTCGGTCGCGGTGAAGGCAACGGCATTCTTGCCGTTTGCCCTCACTGCAGCGCTCGCCGTGCCGCTGTCTCCCAGCATGGCTCTGCTAGTGGCCTGCAGCCTCTTTCTGGCTCTGCTCTTCACTGCGTGGCTTTTCGGAGGTCGGCGCCGGTAAGAAGCGGTTCCCCCTCCAACACACTGGCCAGGCAAAATTTGAAAATTAATTATAATTATTATCTATATTAGTAAAGACCTGAATCTGTATATCTCAAACACCCTCTCGGGTATTTCCCGACAAGGTAGAAAGCTGAAATTTGGTACATGGGTAGCTTTTAGAACACAAACGGGGAAAATCAGATTTTTTATTATAAGGTCCCCAAATCTCGATTTTAAGTGCCCCATAAACATGTTTGTTCGTGAAGTAATTCAGAACTCGTTAAAAGTATAAGATTGCGAGTCTTTTCGTTTGAGCGTTAAACGGCAAGCAGAATAAGCCAGAACCATTGTTCTATTTGTTATTGTTTGTTAGATATTCTAGCGGGTTTGAACGAAAGCAAATCCGCATTTTATGATGTTCAAATGTGAATAATTTGAAGGTAAACTGAGAGATTCCCCCAGGGTATTAAGTTAATTAATTTCTAATTTAAAAAAGAGAACGGAATCTTTAAATTGAGCGGTTTCAACAATTTGTGTTTTTTGCGGAAAAATACAAGCGTTTGGAGTAATTGTTAGTGTCTGGAGATACAAATTGTAAAAATTCATATCAGGTTAATTTTTATATATATATTTAAACTTTTGCCTGGCTAAGACAGATATTATGAACTCGTAAATAATAAGAATGTATTTGAATACAACGGCATCCTGTTTGACACTCACTGCCGAATCCAAACCCGCTCCCCCCTCTCGCGTGAACCCTCTCAACTCAGCTCAAGTCGCGCTCTTTACGATGCATTACGACGTTTGCAGGGAGTGCTGGTTCGTTGCTGACCGCTTCACGTTTTTGGGCCCCTTGGTTTCTTGTGTTGAGGAGCAACTGTGTTAACAAATGCAATACACACATACACCGTGTGCCCCATGTCATTTGAGGTGACATGGGGCAACAACCGCCTTTCGCAGCTAAGTGGCAGTGACGTCCCCACGGGGCTTGTGCCAGGCTATGTGCACTTTAAGGCCACGTGAAGTGTCGAACGCCCGCTGGCAGGAGGTCACGGGGCTGACCCAGCAGGTGCCATGGGTCGACTGAGATGAGTGGCCGATGCACCACCTGTGCCCCCTACTGTGCCAACTTGCTGTGTTTTAATCACCCAGCCCTCCGCTCACCGTTGTGAGCGTCGCTCCTCTGCCCTCCGTTGTTGTTGGAGGGCGACTGCCTCCTACTGCCCAGTCGCAGCAGCGTCCTTCACGAGCCTCCTTCCACAGGAGGGCTGGTGGTCACACACACAGAGACGCACATACGGTTAGCTGATTATCAGATGCACCCCCCTCGGCAATTTTTGCTTTACAATACAAAAAGTGAATTAAGGGTGTCTTAAAATCCGCGAAGTGTAGGTAACAATGCAGTTCTAATCTAAATCGTCTATAAGCGTACCTCGGGGAGTGTTCCCGAAATACACAGAGCCCATTGCAACACGCTGCGCGAACTGGCTGTGGGCTGTGGTTTTTGCGGGCGGCGGCGTTGACGAAATATTCCGAGGCCTGGGTTCGAAGCCCCCTTGCTGGCAGTGATGAGTTGTTGATGTCCACCGCTGGTGACCGCCACTGGCTAAAGCCCCCACCCTCTCCCGCGTACACATCACCGTTTGCTTCCAGCTATCGATCTGAGCGGTTTGCCCACTTGGCGTGGAGGGGTGTGGGGGGGGGCTGTCCCTCTTCAATGCTTCTCAGCAGCAGTTCTGTGATGTGCGCTTTCACGGGCTCGTTTTCCAACCAGAGGGGAGGGTGTGGAGGGGGGGGTCCGTGCTGCCGAGGGGGATCGTGCCTCGTTTCGTGGCACGGGGAGGGCTCCGGTGGCTGGATGTGACCAGGCGGGCATTGACTTCGCATCGGGTCAACACTGCTTCCCCATTGCTACAGGGACCACTCACCACTCACCACTCACTCACCAGACACTCACCACTCACCAGACACCACTCACAACCCACCACTCACCAGACACTCACCACTCACCAGACACCAGACACTCACCACTCACCAGACACCACTCACCACTCACCAGACAATACTAACCACTCACTCACCACTCACCAGACATTCACACTCACCAGACACTCACCATTCACCGCTCACCACTCACCAGACACTCACCACTCACCAGACACTCACCACTCACCAGACAATACTCACCACTCACTCACCACTCACCAGACATTCACCACTCACCAGACACTCACCATTCACCGCTCACCACTCACCAGACACTCACCACTCACTCACTACTCACCACTCACCAGACACTGACCATTCACCAGACACTCACCACTCACCGCTCACCAGACACTCACCACTCACCAGACACTCACCACTCACCACTCACCAGACACTCACCACTCACCAGACACTCACCACTCACTAGACACTCACCACATACTCACCACTCACCAGACACTCACCACTCACCAAACACCACTCACCAGAATGGGTATCGATTGGCGTTTTGAACATCTTAACACCTGTTTTATTTTGCCAGAAAGGGTACAATACCGATTCTTATTATTTTTCATACTTGAAAGGGCTCTGTGCCCGGTGACTCCTGACCTCAAAGTGGAAACGCCACCACCGCCTTAGCCCTGAGAGCTCAGCAGATCTCTATCCGCACGTTGGGTGGTGGTCGTGGTGCTTCCTGCCAGCCGGGCGCGACTTATCAGGCCCCATGCACACTGAGCCAGTTTCCACAACCCAAAGGATGACGACTGCCTGCCCGTTCATCTGAAACCAGAACCAGGAACTTGTTGGGTCGATCTCGTGATCGTATCCAAGGCATTCTCGACTAACTGTCACCAAACCCCGACGTTCCATCTCAAGACAGTGTCCACGTGATATATATTGTATGAATCTCGGAGCGCAGGTTTTCTTTTGCTTACGCCATGCCAGATCCCGAAATTTCACGAACTCAATTTTCTGTTGTGCCACGGCGACCAATCTCACCAGGGCTGAGGCTAACCATGCTAGGACGGGCGACCCACCGGACGGAACCACAGGCGCGCGCCGCACGCCCCGATTAGCACGGGTCGGCTACGTGTGGTTGCGAAAGAAGTTCAACATACGGGGTGGGCAGCAGAGGGCAGCAGAACAGCAACGTCCATTGCCCAGCTGTTTGTCTTCCTTCAAACACCTGTCTCTCAACACATCCCATCAGCCTCACGGCCTCCTGGCAGTGAATGATCTCTGCATATGTGCAATGTTCTTGGAGGGAGACGGAGTCTTCGTAGAGGCAACACGCTTTATTTCACCAAACAGTTACACTAATCCCTAACACAAAGAGGTAATGGCCCCTTTCACCCACAACGTGGGGAGATACAGCCTCCGGGCTATCGTACCTACAACTCTTCCTACTTCAGCCCTCCAGCTAATTAAACCTAGGGGAGGCTGACCCACCGCTGGCCCAGTGGGTCCCTGACCACTGGCCCGTCCGGACCTGGCCCTCACAAGGGCATCAGGCCGAGGGAACCTCAGGGTCCTAACCCCACGACCACTGGCACCGCACTGAGCCCCGGCCCTTAGAAGGACGTCAGCAGCTTGGGGTCCAGGGTCTTCTTCTTCTTCTTCAGGCGGCTTCTGGCTTCGGCTTGAGACGGACTGACTCGCGCTCTCAGGGACCCGCCTTATATACTCTTTCTCCCTGAGGGGCGGGGTTCTGGGGGATCGTAGCTCCTGCCAGCCCCCTCCCCTCAGAGGGGTTCCAACCGCCGTTGGCCCGACTGGTCCGGACCGGTTCCTACCCCTCCCCCTGGTTGTGGCGCGTGTGTGTCAATCATGACCACCACATATGTACAGGGTGGGTGCTTACATTTTTGTTTAACACTTCCGGGAATTTGCAACAATACCAGAAGAAATGTGCCTCCGGGCTCTGGAGACCACCTGGAGAAGATTCCAGGGATATGTTGACAATGATGGCGAACAAATGGAGACTCTTTGACTTGTTGAAGCTATTAGCATACATTTGTTATCATGTTACAGTGTGTTATCCGTTCTTTTTTCCATTAAAAACGATAGTCCCATATAGGTGTTAACGTTTTTTAAGCACCCTGTATACGTTCAACATATATACTTACATACGTGTACATCTGTACGTATAGTTTATCTTTATGATACAGCAAGTCCTCGTTTAACACGGGGTTGCGTTCCTTTAAATTGCACAACGGCCAATGAAGATGGGAGTGCCGTACACTGCAGATGCATACCATCACACCCATCCATTACCTCTATTGTATGTGTAATGGGTTCACTTGAGGCGCACACTTAAACTTGGAGGCAACACTTTATTAAACAACGCAACAGACAACTCGAACAACTATATAAGGTGGTGACCACCGTTCCTAATTTAACTAACACTTGGAGGGATAACTACATAACGGGACCAGGACAGGCTAACAGGCTGCCTGGTCCTCGAGCGGAGATCAGAGACTTGATGACCGTAGATTGCGTCTTCATTCTCTTAGGTTTTTTTCGGTAAAGCCACATAGGTAAAAATAAATAATAAATAATAAAAATAATAGAAATAATAATAGAAATAAAATAATAAATCACGACGTTTCGGGCGCAACACAAGCGTCCGTCATCAGGTGGGACAACCACAGCAAGAAACAGTTGCTTAAGTGGGCAAAAGAGCTGCTGTAACAAGAGGCTATATAGGTGTAGTGGTGATACGCGCTGGGGTAGGGATCGTGTGCCAGCGCGTAGTGATTGGCTGTGTGGGTGGTGACGCGCGCTGACGGTGAAGGATCAGGGGTCAGCGCGGGGTCGTGGGTTATGTGGTGCTGATTGGCTGTGTGCCGGTGACGCGCTTGAGAGGGAGTGATCGGGTGGCAGCGCGGTGTGATTGGTTGGGTAGTGGTAACACGCGCTGGGGAAAACGGATCGTAGGAACAGCGTGTCGTCATTGGTTAACTAAGGAGTGATGCTCACGTCGAGGTCCGCATCCGCTCCGTCTCCCGTGAGCGGGGACTATATAA